GCGGAGTGCTCAGAGTGCATAACATCATGGAAGACTGCAATTGGTGAGGGTGCACTTAGGGTCCGAGGAGCGGTATTGGCACTATCATATATACTGAGCAGACTTGCATTCCGTAACATGAGATCTAGGGTGCCCAGCGTCCATATAGATCAATTCGTTCATACTATCCGTGACATGATCGAAAACGCGCGCGACTCACTCCTTCGACGTTCTGCACAGTTAGCAATTGGACAGCTCAGTCTCTCCAAAATTCTGTCTCCTTCTATGCTTTCTGATGCGGAGTGGAAAGTCATCAAGGAGGTCCTCGTACGGGACGCAAAGGCCGAAAGCGAAGTGGCCATAATGGCACTGGGGCTCTTGTCTGCAATCTTTCCAAAGGAGAACACTGGTGATTCACACTTCAGTACCCTAACAGAAGCCCTTTATGATCTACATGAAATCCGCAGCCCTGAGATACACTTCACTGTCGGTGAAGCACTAAGCAATGCTGCGGCTGGCTGGGACTCAAAATCATTGAACCTGGAATTCGATGTAGACTCCGGGTCACCAAACTCAAATGTGCCGGAACAAGTGCTTGCGAGTGTGGCTGACACAATCATTGCCAAATGTGGCGCACCGAAACCGTCGCTTAAAAGGGCGTCTGCCATTTGGCTATTAAGTCTGGTCAAAAACTGCGGTCATCTAACCCTGATGCAAGATCGTCTGCGTCAATGCCAAAGCTCCTTTAGCAGCTTGCTCGTTGATCGAGACGAGGTGGTACAGGAAACTGGCGCACAGGGATTAAGCCTCGTTTATGGCATGGGTGACCAGAGCCTGAAAGACGATTTGGTGCGTGACTTGGTAAACTCCTTCACCGAGAACAATTCGACCCTCTCGGGTGGCAGGGTCAGCCAAAATACAGAGCTCTTCGAACCTGGGGCTCTCCCTACTGGCGGCGGTTCCTCTGTCAATACCTACAAAGACATCATGAACCTCGCAGCCGAAGCTGGTGACCCAACCCTCGTATATCGCTTCATGTCCTTAGCTTCGAATAATGCCCTTTGGTCGAGTCGTGCGGCTTTCAGCAAGATGGGCATCAGCAGTATCTTTTCTGACTCGAGCGTCAATGGTTACCTAGCAAAGAACCCTAAGATTTATCCCAAGCTATTTCGCTACCGTTTTGACCCTAATCCCAATGTTCAACGGTCCATGAATACCATCTGGAAGGCCTTGGTCAAGGATCCAATGGAAGTTATTGAGACCCATTTTGATGAGATCATGAATGATCTGTTGAAAAGCCTGTTGACAGGCCGGGAATGGAGGGTTCGGCAGGCAAGTTGTACTGCAATCGCGGATTTAATTCAGGGTCGTCAGCCCGAGAAATATGCGCAGTACATGGATGAGATCTTTACCAAGGCATTCAAGCTCTTGGATGATATTAAAGAGACCGTCCGAGCTTCAGCACTGAAGCTTTGCCAGACGATTACCAATGCGATTATCCGCACATTGGAGACAAGCGACACTGATACCAAGCGAGCCGAAACCATGCTACGAAGCGCCATCCCGTTCCTATTGAGTGATAAGGGCATGGAATCCGGTGTTGAGGAGGTCCAAGGATTCGCCATTGGGGCTCTGATCCAAATGATCCGAAAAAGCCCAGGTAGACCATTGCGGCCGTTCATACCCCACATAATGGAACAGTTTCTGAATTCTTTGAGTTCACTGGAGCCACAAGCAGTCAACTACGTCCACCTGAACGCGGATAAATATGGCCTGACAGGCCAGGATATCGACAAGATGAGGTTGTCCAGCATTCGAACATCTCCCATGATGGAAGTGATTGAGAGATACCTCATAGACATGTTGGATGAACAGAGTATGAAAGAGTTTGCCACGAGGCTTGAAGGCGTGTTGCGCTCGGCCGTTGGACTTCCATCCAAGGTTGGCTGTAGCCGAGTTTTGGTCCTTTTGAGCATGCGATCCATGCTCTTCCGCCCCTATGCAGATCGTTTCATACAAATCCTCGGCAAATTCGTGGTGGATCGCAATGACACCGTCAGTGCATCCTACTGTACATCTATTGGCTATCTCCTACGTCTCGCCTCGGATAATCGAGTGCTGAAGACAATCGAGCATGCCAAAGATCTATACTTGACCGCCGAAGACTCTAACCAGCGCGTTATTTCAGCCGAGATCTTGCAAGCCGCTTCGAAGTTGTCCAATGACCGGTTTATGGCATTCGCTACGGCAGCACTGCCATTCATATTCGTGTCCAAATGTGACTTGGATGAGCACGTCAGGGAGGTATTCGAAAAGACGTGGCAGGATAATGTCGGCGGCAACCGCACGGTGTCTCTCTACATCAAGGAGATTACCGACCTTGTATCGAGCAATCTAGATTCGGCCCGGTGGGCCATTAAGCATACGGCAGCTTTGGGGCTTGCAAAGGCCATTATGTCGATGGACTCGGAGCTCGATCTCCCGACAATCGAGTATGTATGGCCTGTGCTAGAGAGAGCTGTGGCTGGGAAAACGTGGGAGGGCAAAGAAGTTGTGCTAGAAGCGTTTGTGAAGTTCTCGGGCCAAGCGAAGAAATTGTGGCAAGAGAAGCCAACACTTGGAGAAACAATGAAGGTAGGCATTTCCCTTCTTGCACTTGAAAACTTTTGAGGGCCAAGCTCTGACTGACGGTTCACCTATTCCCCTCTAGACCATCACTATCAGAGAAGCGAAGCGGAATAACCCTGCATATCGCCCCCACGCGCTTATTGCTCTCGGCGGAGTAGCTCAAGCACGCAAAGACTTGGATCTGATGTCAGACGCTATTGCCATTGTCACCCACGTGCTGGATGATGTTGAAGATCAGGGAGATCCAATGGATGTGGATTCAGGCAAGGATCAAAAGCCGAAGTATGTTCCTCGTCTGTATTTTGTATGCTTTTAGTCCACGATGATTCCTTTTTTCTCATCCCTCTGTTCTCGGGTTTACTTTGGATTGGTCTTGGAATGCGGGCGGTTCGCGCAGAAAGATTTCTGAAACTCATTCACGTGTGACGCGGCGAGTATGCACGGCAGTTGCTGATTACCTCTGCAGACAAACCCTGGACGACACGTTGGCGGCTTGTGTGGTATGTCTCTTACAATGCCTCAGTCTTGCATCGCATACATCAGCACAGAGTGGGTTCCCCTGCAGTTGGCATCCCCACCCAATCATCGATATGCTAACGGAAATCAAGCCATCGACGGACACCTGGATAAGTCGAGACCGGCGTTGCGCAGAATACTAGTGGGCCATGGGGGCAGAAACGTGCAGGTTACGTTGTACCGGGAGCTGCGCACAGTTTTTGACCAATTCGGGGCGTGGGTATCGGAACGGAGTGGCGAACCCGATCGCCGTGGGCCCCAGGAGTCCTTGGCGGCACTAACAGCAGAGATCTTCGCCCATGAGATAGACCTCTCCGTTGAAGCCGTTCGAGCTGAACGCGCCCAAGCGGCTGTCGCATACTTTAAGCTCTGCAAGCAGACAGAACTTCCGATCGATCAGAACATCCAGAAACTGGTGAAAAACTGGCGGGAAGAGGAGAGATCGGGACCAGTCCGACAGATCCTCGATCGGGCACTCGTCCATCTGCAATGATTCCTGTGACATGGGTACATATGCGGGGGAAGAATGTCTCAGAATCGGATCATTGATCATGGGACATACTACTAGTATTGTATGCGTATCATCCACCTTACTCCATACCTCGACTGGGTATTGTCAGGAACCCGAGCCAACCCTGAATGTGTCCGTCCCAATCAGGAGGCGTGCACAGGAAAGGGGCGGGGCGTGGTTGTAAGCATGTCGCTTGGGCAGAAGCGCCGGAGGACCTACAGTACTAAGTAAGTAGTCAGATAGACAGACAGACAGACAGAGACAGACATAGCCAAGGTGCATAATACCCAACCTTAACTTGCCTCTGTAGCGTAATGCAGACCTGCGCCTGACCAATCATGCTACATCCAAGCCACCACTGGCCGGAGAATGGGATGTCCGTTCCATGGACAAATCTGGAGGAACTGGATGGAAGGAAGGAGGGAAAAGAGAGGAAGCGGTGACGGGGAGGTTGTTTGCTTTGAGCTAGTAGAAAGTAGCTACTGTACTGGGCGTGGGTGCGGACAGCCCGAGGAATCTAGATTGGCCCAGGCGCGTCTGGCAGAGCAGGACTAGAATCATCTGGGGTTAGCACCGGCTATTGGTACAGACCCAGCTGGTCTTGGATGGTAATATTTGCTGCAGGTAGACCGAACATACGCCGGTTGTTACGTGGATTGTACCCCTTCGTTCTGATCCCGTTAGTTAACGTAAGTAACTTACTTCCCTGGCCGGCATTGGAAGCCGCCCATCCATCCATCCATTCATCCGACGGATCAGTCAGTTTTCAATAGGTACAAAGTACTTGCTCTCTGCCATTAAGGTTGGTAAGGTTGGGTGGATGCGCTTTGCAAGCTCTTCTCCCACCTTTCTCAACTGCCGCTATGTTGAATATAGATACATAGATACATCCGTTCGCCTGGTTCGCCAGACTATCATCATCCCTCTGGCAGCCACCCAGCGTGGCTCGGCCCCGAAAACTATGATGTGAACCGACCAAAGATTGGGTTAGATGCTCAAGCCCAGTCCGGAGCTTGCACCCATCCTGGCTTCGCGAGTCTAAAAGTGGATGCATTGTCCGATACTGACCCAAGCCTGACCCCATGAGACAGAACAGAACCATCATGACTCGTTCACGGCCCCCCGTATATCGGCGTGGCCGAACTCACCTGACGGCCCCCCTCCCCCAAAATCCAGCCTGAACCGTGGGCCCTGGTCTATATTCAGGTCACTACTATAGCCCAGGCTGCCAGTGTCCATGGAGAAACGTATCGATCAATCCATCAGTCAATCGATCCATCAAATCAATCAATCGTAAACAGAGGACAAGCTGCGACAACTGTGTGTCATGAAGTAGATCATGGTTAGTACTACTAACTACTTACTACTACTTACCTCCACTTAGGGGTCGTCCTGGACCTGATTGGATGCCAGGAAGGAGACGTTGACCCCAAGGTTGAGGAAGGAAAAGCATCGTCCCATCAGCAGCATCCTTGGTAGCAACTTTGCTCTGGCTGGTATGACTGGCCTGTCCCTCTTCTCTCGGCCCCGGAGGACTTTATTTCAAATCTTCTTCCTTTTTACCCTCGCTGCCACATGGTTGGCATCTGCAATCCATGGTCCAGGATGGCTGAGTACTACTAGTAGAGTCTGTAGTTTATGGCCTTCATTGGAACCAAGTCTCTTCGCCTAAGATACCGGCCTAACCACATCCATCCCGGTGGTTGTTCCCCCTCCCTTTTTTCCTTTTTTTTTTTTTTTTTTTTATTCCCTCAGTTCTTCTTTGAATCATCCACAGACAAACACGCCATTCGCGTCAAGGTGGCATTTGGGCTGCTGCCTCTTCATTCGCCTGTTCGCTGTTCGCCTTCCACCCTATCTCATCCCGTCGGAACCGCCACTGTGGACAGGGCTGGCTGATGATCTTGAGAACGCCTGTTTTATTCTAATTTTCATGGCGTTTCTGCATCAGCTCCGTCTTGTACTCCGTACCTGATCCTACCTATCTTTCCCTTTTTCTCACCCTCACGAACTACTACTCTTCTGGACAGCTCTGCAGACTCCAGACTGCAGACTCCAGACTCCAGATTCCCACTCCTATCTTTCGTTTTTTTTTTTTTCCCTTCCCTTCTTCCATTTTTAGACTTTTTCTTTCCCTTTCCCTCAACTGTTTTTTCTTTTCAGCCGCCATTGTTCGCTCCACCCTATACATAGTCCCTTTACAGGATGCATAAACGATACTATACTATTACCGATTTCGTTTATCTTCATCCGTTACCCCCAACCCATTTGCCTCTTAACTTTTCGGCCACGGTTGTTTCTCTCCATCTATAGTTACCCTACTGACATCCTCACTCCACTTCCTATCTAACTTTTCTTTTTTTTTTATATTCTTTTTCCCTTTGATGCACTCACTTGCTCCCTCTTCTTTTTCCCTCTCTTATAGAATCCACACGTTTACAGACATAGTTTCGGGAGCCTATAGAGTATGGGTGCCTACGCTCCCGTCACCATCCAGACATCTCTTGTTGATGCGTCATTCCCAGCAATAGCCCTAAAAGCGACTTCCTCCATGGCGGCCGTCAGTATATCGATGACAACCCGGTCTGGTCGGTCTTCCAGGAAGCAACCTCTACGATTGCCTATCATTGCCCCCAAGAGTTGTCTGGTGAGCCCCAGCGCCGGCTTGGACCCTCCGACGCCCAAGAAGGTTTCGGTCCGACAACACCGACTGCGCTTCCCACCCCGTTCCCGGACTGGTTGCTGGTATGTCCGTTGGCGCGGAGAAAGCCTTCATTTCCCGTTCTGTGGGTATCTCTAATGTCATCTTACCCTCCTAGGACGTGCAGAGTGAGCCCACCCTCCCGTGTCAGAAAACCGTAATATCCGACGTTCCGTACAATGGGATACTGACTGTTTTGCCTTACTTGGAAGTAGAGCCGCAAGGGTGAGTGCTTGAGTTTCCCGAAGAAACAATCAGATCTCCGCAAGAGCCTTTTTTTTTCCGGCCTGCTCCAATGCGACGATGTACGATGTACTGACTCGCAACCCAGTCAAGTGCGACGAAGTCCATCCTCAGTGTAATGTACTTCATCCAGATCCAATGTGAGCGCTGCGCGGTTCCATGCTGACCTGATTCGATCCAGCAATGCGCTCGTCTGGGCCATGTTTGTGACTACCGGCCGCGCTTGTGCTTTCGAGATGATACCCGTCGCGTAAGGGAGCGCATGCCGGATGTTAGGACCGCAGGCAACGTGGTTTGGGACCGTGAGCAGCCTTAATCCTCATTTACTCTTGGATTGCCTCTAATGAATTATGGTGGTTCTTCTCAGCGACTGTCACTTCGCCGAAAACAGGCGTGCCTCCAGCTACATGCGACTTACTCCCGCCCTTTGCGACACTCACGTCAGATGAAGAGCGAGAGAGAAAGGCACAAGCAGCGGCACCTGGGACCTACCATGTGATAGCTTTCCCAGAGAGTTTTTCTCGACTGCCTGAGTATGCAGGCGAGGCCTCTGGACAAGACACAGGGAACGATGCTCTGCTTGAAAGCGCCAGTGGCAGTAATCCCCCAATCGATGACAACTGGGTCTATGGACCAAATGTCATCGTATTGAAGAGCTTCAGGTCTGCACGAAGACACTTATACCCAGACAGAAGAAGTACTCCTCAATCACCTGAATCAGACCAGGGAAGCTTCTCATTATCTGCACCTTCGGTAGCGGAATTAATCCCGGACTATCCGGCCACCAGTGTGCAGCATATGCAGGAAAGCGCCGAACCCAATCATTTCCAAATGCTCCTTCTAGAACACTTTCGTCATTTCGTATGTTTGCAGCTTCTTCCATGTGCCGGCCTTTTTAACATCAATGGGCTGGATGCGACTGTGTTCGAACACGAGGCGTCGAACTTCCCTCCTGTGCGTAATGCTTGCCATTTTGGGGGTCATAGAAAGATTTGTGGAAGCTAATCTCTGTGTTGTTAGCTATACCATACTATAATGGCTCTATCTGCTCTCAGTCTGGTTCGCCAAGGGGGTGGCCAGCACATCGATGCCTCATATTACTACGATCGGGTTGCCGCTCTTTCCCATGATAGTCTCTGCAACGAAGATCTCTTGTCTGATGCTCTGTATCTGACACATTTTCTGCTGCTTGTTTATGAAGTGAGTCTTCCGGTCGGCTCCTTTCCTCCTGATGCTTGCGACCAAGGCGTTGGGTGCAATAACGTGGGTTAAAGACTAAGTCTCGCTAGGTTGTGGCGGCCAACCCCGGTGGTTCAAACCTTTGGTCGCATCACGTCTCTCGGCTGCTTCATTTAGCCTTGCTGCGGCAATCAATTCCGGGGGCTGAGCGATTCCCTTGCATTGCTTGGTGGGTATGCCACGTGGACCTATATGCGCTGTTCAGCGGCGCAGGCACAGGGGATTTTGTCCGTGCCGTTCTCGACAACCAGCTGTTACTAGACTTGCAGTCGCTCTGTTACGCAGTTGGGCCCAGTGATTCGGAATATCCACACGCCGATAACAGCTTACCTCTAATCGTGCGGTTATATCACGACACCTTCATATTAGCCATCCGAATCGGACTCCTTGCTGTTGGAACGCGGGGTGTCAAAGGGTCTTACCTCAACAATTACTTGGGCTCGCAGCAACAGGAACTAAGGGAGGTACATGACGTGCTCAAAAGGCTGTGGAGCCAGCAGGAGGTTGGGTATTTGTACCAAAATCAAGTTAGTCTCTCATCACAATCGCAGAGTCTGTTGCAGCCGGTGAGTTCGTCCCTTTGGCTTCGCCTGAGCCCATGGTGTTAACGGCAGTACCATCTAGCTTGCTATTCTATATCACACCAGCCTGCTCTTCTCCTCGACCAGTTCCTGGCCAGGACAGCGGTTAGAGTCCGGGGCTGTCGCGGACGAGGAGATCCACCACCACGCCATGCGAATCCTACAGATCGTATCGGGGATTGTGGAGAAGGGACGAGAAGGGGACCGTCGATTCATTGCCTTTCCGATTTTTCTGGCGGGCGCCGTGGCCCCGACGAGTGGGCTAAAAATGATGGCGTTGGAGCTCCTTTCCAACCTAGAGGAAGGAGAAATTGGGTATAACGCGGCCACAACGTGTCAGATGTTGCAGGTATTTTTTGAACGGCAAATCCAGCATTCTCAGCGTGGAGGCCATGCATTGGAGGTTGAATGGGCCGAGGTGCTGGCTGAGCATGGGCGACCGTTAGTCAACTACGGTTGATTCATTTAGGCATAAGCTTGGGAGTTCTCTAAAGGGACATCATTGGAGCTGGAGTTGGGAGATTTGGATATTGCTCTCTTGGAATTTAGTATTTTGAGTTGGTCTGGACTGCGGAGATAGACGGGGCCCGTATACGTCAAGCGCCTCTTTAGCATTTTGATAGGACTTATGAAGTGAACGAAGTCAGGATGATAATAATAATAATATAAAGTCAAGCATGAAATGGCTGAATATTGACTTATGCTTCATCGTTGAATCATGTTGGATCGTCCATATATTATTCATCTTAGGGTACCGCCGCGGGCCGATCCCGACGCTCGGGGAAGACAAGAAGCATCTGCTAAGTATATCTCAGGGTCCCACCGGCAGATGGAAAAGCGACACAAACCAGGCCTAGTGCTAGTAGCAGCCACATGCAACCCTGGAGCATCGCACACGGTTCAGGGAAAGTCAAACCTGCAGCGCCGTGAAGGAGGAGATCAACCATTTCCGACTGATTATTCGCGGAGAGCTGCCCCTCATGCACCGTTGGGGCCTTTGCGCTGAGCCAATGATGCGCCGGCCAGCATCCCCCTCGGCGGCTAATCTGTCGAGCCACCAGCTTTGCCAAAGAGGAATCTCGCTGCCTCCTGCTTTCTCTCTCTCTCCTTTTTGGTTTCTATCTGTTCTTTCTCTTTCTCTCGCTCTCTCTCTACATTGCAAGTTGGCCCTTTGTCTGGCTTCAAGAGTGACGAAGTATGAGCAACGGTCGTTAGACACCGTCTATCAGATCCAGTGACTTCCAGTCCGTCTGTCCCTCTTCCCTCCTCCCCCCCCCCCGCATTTCCCTCTCTCTTCCCTTTCCCCTTTCCCTCTTCTTTTGTCGCATTCGTTCGCGGATGGGCGCTCTGCTCGTTTGAAGAAGCTAACTTCAAATCTCTCTCCAGCTAAGCTATCTTTCATTCCCAACTGGTTCCCTATTTATTTAGCAAGACATAGGACAGCATGAGTCGTCCCAGCGAAAGCCGTCAGGGCTATCGCTCCCAGGAAGAACTCTTCTTGAATACCGCATCGGGGCAACCGCAGGCCGACTCACCCGTAATTGAACCGCTGCGCATTGGCAAGCGAGAAACCCCTTCCCCGGCGTCGGCGCACAGTGCCCCTCTGCCTTATCCCGACGATAGACAGAGACCCCAACATGTTCGTGGCTCAGGTTCGAGTGGCTCCAGTCCAGTATCTCAAGGCGGAGCTGCTCTAGGAGACTCTCCCACGGTCCCCAGCCATATGTCGGCTGGCACCGGCGTATCTCAGAATTCCGATTATATGGCATCTCTACGGCTGCGTGAGCCCAAGCAAGCCACTCTAGCTGAGCGACGAGGCAATGTCCCGAAACCCTTGCCCGAATCCCCCGCAGGGGACTCTCCGGACCGCGAAGGATTGTTTTCGCGACTTCATCAGCGCATGCCGGGGCTGGCAGCTCCGGCTCCAGCTCCAAACGTTCAATCCCAGTCGACCGGGTATCCAGACCACCGCCAACAGTATTATCCGCCTCCTCAAGCTTCAAACAGACTGGCAGCAGCACAGAATCTACAACCGCCAAGCAATGCCATCAATCGAATAAGCTCGACGGCGTCAAACTCGACGACTCGTGCTCAGCGCGGTTCTCCGCCGCCCCCAGAAACCCCGGTGGTTGAGCCAGGGCAGCATGCGACGTCTGATATTGAAGCGCGGTATGCCGCCTCGGGGATTGCTGGGACGTCGACATTAGCAGGACTTCAGTCTCAGAGTGCAGCTGCCCAAAGAAGAGCCGAGCAATATGCAGGCCAGCAGCCCAGAAATCAACAGTCAACTCCACCGGTCCCAAGGCCATGGACCCCGACGGAGCAGCCCGGAAGTCAGCCACATGGGCCACCCACGGTCTATCAAGGTGCTGAGGTTGTTTCTGAAGGCAATCCTTCGACAAGTTCCACGCCCCCTATGCCTGCAGGGGCGTCAGTGCATCCCCAACCAGCATCCCAGCCCACCAGAATTCCCCCGAATGCACTAGAGCAGGACTTGGAAAGAATGCGCATAAGCTCCTCCCCTCCTCCGGCCTACTCGAGTGTCCCAGGACCCGTAGTATCGCAGGGCTATCCGAATGAGAAGCAGCGTGTTCCGGTGTCGACGAGCCAGCCCAGCTCGTCAACTGGGCACCCTGCGGCCTCTGGACCGGCAAACGGCGTCAAAGAAGCCAATGATACACACGGCGCTGC